GTACTTGAATGTACCTGCCTTATTGTGAACCAACTTACTGGAAAAAAAATTAGGAATGCTGGCTCCAGATCTCTTCATCCTTCACAGGTTATTCTGGAAATCCTGTAAGTTAACTTCCTGTTCTAGTTTGGGGTTTTTTTTGGGGGGGGGGTGGTGTTTTCATTTCTATTTTTTTCCTCTTTGGCTGATTCCTGCTGAGTGGGGCCAGTTCCTTGTCAGGCTCAGGGCAGGTGCCATTCTCAGGCATGGCCTCCTTTCCATCCAGCATAGCATCTTTGTCTCTGTTCTGTCTCCTCCAAATCCAAGATGATTTTAATTAGTACAGACCTGTACAGTCTACAATTAAAGAGTGATTTGTACTAACATGATTTTGATTCTTCCTCCTCTTTGCTGTCCTTTCAAGACACTTGCTGGAAAAAGCTTTAATGCACTTAGTTTTCCTTTAGGTTTTCTATAACTCAAATGTAAAGGACCTTCTCTGTACAGTATATTATCCAATGCATGTTTGTTCTTTATCCTGATATATTGAACACCACACGGTTGTGAACTCGTGCAGTGTGGATGTCCCACACCCAACAGAGGCATCTAGCCCCCTGTGTATAAGGAAAGACATTTTCCTTTGCTGTACTTGCTTGAGCAGTTTTATTGTCTGTACATGTGAGCTGTGTGAGATAGATGTGAAAAGTTAAATGAATGCAATTTCCTGCCCATGTATACAGATCGCCATCTGTACAATGAACTGTATGTATGAAAGCAAATGTACTTATTTATAAATGGGTAACACTTGGAAAAACATGGTGTTGTGGTGCTTTCTTCTTTCATTACAGTACCTCTCCAGGAGCTGACTCGGGTCACCGTCACTGAGGCCCACCATGCTAAGGATGCCTCCCCAGAGACAGCTCACTGGGGCCCAATTCCTCATGATTTGGCTGGTCATTTATGGGATATTTAGAGTCACCCCTTTGGGCTCTTGTTCATTCAGAGAAGTTACAGAGCTCTCTTGACAGCTGGACACTGTGAGGGGCTCAAGAGAACAGTGGACAAGACAGTCCTGAGGGCCCATCAGCCAAGGCCCACTGCGCTCATTGAGACAGAGGAGGCTCTTTCTTCCGTGGAAGAGGTCTCTCCAGCCAGGCCAAGGGAACACTGAGTTCCTCCTTGTTTGATTTTAATAGCTGAGGCTACACTTCAGTCGTTACCGTCCCAAAATCCAAGGCTGCCCATCAGAGCTGTTAGATTGAGAGACTGCGTGCCTGAGGCAGGGGGACAGCCCCAGTTCTAGTTCCCAAGGCTGACTTGGTTAAAGCTGGAAGCCCACTGCTTCCAGTGACTTTTTTTTTTTCCCCCAGAAGTCTGGCCAAGGGACTTCCCTTTGGTCTGGTGGTTAAGAATCTAGCTGCCAGAGCAGAAGACACATGGTCAATTCCTGGACCTGGAAGATCCCACGTGCTGTGGGGCAACTAAAGCCCGAACGCCCCAGAGCTCCTGCTCTGCAACAAGAGGAGCCTCTGCAATGAAAAGCCTGCGCATCGCAACTAGAGTAGCTCCCACTCGAAGCAATGAAGACCTAGCGCAGCCGAAAATAATAAAATTCAATTTTAAAAAAGAAAGAAATCTCGTCAGAAATTTCCAATCCTCACCATATAGGGAATTAGGCAGCTACACTGTGGAGAGGTTACAGATTTCCGGAATCTGGCTGGAGACTCAATACCTTTCCTTAAGGACAGAGTCATGGGTTTTTCCCACCCAGCTGTGACCTGTCTGCTTCAGGGACAAGCAAGGAAGACCACTTCCTCCCAACACCAGACTGTGATGAACAAACATTTCTGCTGTGTTTCTACATCCATTTCCCTCAAAGCACCCAACTGGGGAAACAGAACACCATGTGTGCGGTCATCCCAATCTGGATGCTAGAGCTGCCTTCAAAGAGCGGAGAGCTCTGGAAGCTCAGCCTGAGCAGAAAAGATAAGTGGCTAAGTGGCTGGGAGGGGGAAAAAAAACAGATTTTTAAGGATTCCTGAGGCAGTGGATGAAAGGTAAAAGGAATTCCTATGAAACTAACTCTGAACAGCTGTTGGCTCTGAACCAGACTAAAGAGCCGCTCGAGCAGCAGGAAGCACTGCCCTCAGTACACTCTTGTAGGTCTTCCCCTTGCTGTTTTCATTCCCTGACAGGTGCTCTTTGTAGTTTGACACACCACTGTGCACATATGCACGTGGGCGGTCACACTCCCACAGGCCGAGGCTGAGTGGAAACATAGCATCATCTTCTTTCACCTTTAAAAATGGGAGCTCCGAAGTTGTGTTCCTTCGGAGACACAACTCTGCATGGGCAAGAGAATTCTGTGACCTCTCGAGGTTCGCAACCCAGTGGGAAGGCGATCTCCCTTGGAGAGAGAGGCAGCCTGGAGTCTGGCACCATTTGAATATTCAAGCGCAGAGACCCTTAAAATTCAGAAGCTGGTGCAGAAGCCGTAAGAGAGATGGCACACTCACTGAGTCAGGATGCCTCTGCCCTCGAAGACAGCCACCCTGAACCTGACCGAGGTCCCCTCATGGCATGCAGCAGGCCACATGGTTCAGTTTCAGGCTGCTAAGCAGATGAAGGTCCACGACACTGATTCAGGAGGCTCTACAGATGGATCAAGCAAAGACCTCTCAAGCTCTGGCCCAGACATGCTAAACACCAGATTTGATACAGAAAAGAAAGTGCTAAGAAGTAAGAATCCATGTCACCAAAGGATGACTTCACCTTATCAGAGGATGTGCTGTAGGGTCCCTTTCAATAGTGAGCCCCCGAGTAAGTTTCCATTAAGTGACAGGAGCAGGTGTTGCATCCTGGTGAGATCTGAGGTCACACCCAGCTTGTTGGAAACACATTTGCCTGACCCTCAGGGACTGATCTAAAGTGGAATCTCCGCTTGTTCTCAAAGCTTTGCTCCTCTTAAGAAATGAAGAGACATATTTTTGTTTTTTGAGACATTTTTAAAACAAAAAAGGTTAATGGAATATGCAGGGCAACTTCTTGCCAAGGTCACGTCAGGCTCTTGCGGTTCTACCCCCCAGGACACCCTGTCTGGGAAGAGAATTTCTCTAACCCTTTGGAAGAGCCTCCCTCACCGGGTCCAGAGCGAGGACCATTTCAGAGCCTGTAGTGCTCTGAAGTGATAAACAGCATGAGTCACTATTTTCTGTGCCCAGCCTGGGGATATGCAGTTTCTCTTGACCCTGGTAGGCAAACTTCACATATCTGCTAAAAGAGCTGGCTCCTTTTACTGCCACAGGAAATGAAGATAACAGGCCAGAGATCTGCTGTAGACATTTATTGAATCATCTGTTGTGCCAGCACTACACTGTACTTCATTGAAGATTGGCCACAGGCAAAATAAAACAAGCCACCACGGATCAGCTTGGCTGGGCGGGGGGGGGGGGGGGGGGGGGGGGCGCTTTTTGGCTCATTAGTTATCCAGCATATGCTTTGGAAAACAGGCCAGTGTTCAGACTTTTTTTTTTTTTTTGCTAATCCAAGGTTCTGTTTCTCTTTGTGCCGTTCTGGCAAGGGAGATACATAGTCCTAACCTGGTAGTTGGTCTAAGGTGGAGTTTTCCCACGGGTAAACATCCTATACCAGGTGATCAAAGAACAGTGTAAACGGCGTGGGGGGCGGGGGGCAGCTGCAGCAGAGCCGGGAGCGCCCACGGGGTGGGGGTGGGGAGCAGGCAGCCCTGCTGGGGAGGGCGCTCACCACCGCCACCTGCCCTGAGGAGCGGCATCGCCTGAGGCAGGACCCACGGCAAAGGCTGAGTTGTAGGAATCTGAGTATTAGAGGCGATAAGCCCCCTTTCTCCAAGGCAGCATTTAGCTGGGAGAGGCAGCTGCTGAAAAACGGTAGTAAGAACTGGAAATTTTATTAATGTCTTAAGTCAACTCTGTCTTGTCTGAAACTGCGTCATGTTCCTCAAAGCCCAGAAAATGAGGAAAACAGGAGACAGCATTTGCCAAGTCCAAGAAGCACAGATCAATGCTCTAATCACGTTATTTCTAGACCAAAGGCAAACAGCGACTCAGCTAACAGCGTTACACACTCACGGGGTTGGCGGGGGGGGGGGGGGGGGGGGTTGGGGGGGTTGGGGATTAATCTGATTCCATCTTGGTCCCAACTTCCTGCAAAGACCCACTGCAGGTAGGAGAGGAGGAGACCGTCCTCCCGAACCCTCCTCATGGAAATCGAAAGGGGGCACCTTATCCTTTTCTAGCGGCAGCTTTTGGTTTAATGGGAAAAGGCGTGTGCCCTCTTGTCAGAGCAGCCTCCCGTGAGGTCCGAGGATCAGGAGCGGAGGCCTGGGCCTTCGGGGACAGAAGCCCCTGCAGGTGGCCCAGCGTCCCCCCAGGCCCACCTCCAGCCTCTTCTCTGGGCTGCCCTCTGAAGGGGGCTCAGGGCAGGTTTGTCCCAAGTCTATGACCCCCAAGGCAAGCCGCCCCGGGGCTAAAGGGTTAAAGAAAGGGAAGGCTCCAGAACGCAGCTGGGCCGAAGCCTGGGTCCAGAAAGTCCCAGGGAGTCCCTCCCCTCTCCTGGGGAACCTGGCCCTGATACCAGCATATTTCACATATAATGTCACTAGCTCCGCTGCCAGAGGCTGGGCCCCTTCAGAGCGCCGGTCCTCTGGGCCGCAAGACTCCTGGCAGGAGTTCGGGGTCACACAAAGCAAGTCTCAGCTTCGCTGCGGCCTCGAGGAGGGAGCGCCCCCCACTCTCGGACACGTTTAGGCCCAGAGCCTTACCCAAAGCAGCTCCATCTTGGGAAGGAAGTCGGGTGGCAACAGGGGCGGGGGGACGCGTGCTCAGGCCTAACAACGGCAGCAGCCGCAGCGCGGGGCGGGACGCGGAGGGGCCCTGAACCCCGAAAATCAGTGCTCAAGGAGCAGGACTGCCCCCACCCCCCACCTCCGCTGTGCCCAGCCCTGCCCGGACCCTCAGCGGCGGTTGCAGGACGGACCCCCGTCACTGGGAGCTGGGGCTGTCACCCTCCGTCAGCGTCTTGAAGTCCATGGAGAGCGCTTGCTCTTCCGCCTGGAGGGGCCGCTTCCAGTCGGCACGGGTCAGGATGTAGAGCACGACCGTGGCGAAGGCGGCCAGCAGCAGGCCCAGCACGTTGGCCAGGACGCCCTCGGGCTCGAACGTGCTGTACTTGGTCCTGCGGGGTTGGGGCGCCGCCCTTAGGCCCAGAGCTGTGCGCCCCAGCCAGAAAGCCGCCCTGGGGTCCCAAGCCCGCGCCCGCCGCCCCCCGGGAGAAAAGCCCCGGCTCGGCGGTCCCGCACAGAGCCGCCGGAAGGGGGCGCTCACCCGAGCTCGAACAGCAGCGCCTCCTTCAGGCCCAGCAGGGCGGTGGCCACCGAGAGCAGGAAGATGGCGGCACCGAAGAAGACGTGCTGCGGGCGGTAGCGGCTCCGCAGGGAAAACGAGGCGCCCGGGAACAGGAAGAAGCTAAAGCCCACGAGCCACTGGGAGGAAAGGCGAGGTGCTGCCGGAGCCCGAGCTGCGCCCGCTCCGCGCAGCCCGGGGACGCCCCGGGCGCACACGTGGCCACGGCCGGTCCGGGCCCTGCTCCCCGCCCTCCCCGCCGCCGTGGGGCCGAGGACTCACCTGCACGAAGAAGAGCGCAAAGACCAGGATGCCGCACCAGCTGTGCAGGCTGTACAGGTCGGCGTAGCCCTCCTTCCTGTGGTGGTCGAACACGGCCACCAGGCCTGGCGGGAGGCAGGGGGCACGTGAGGACACGGCCGACGGGGACGGAGGGGATGCGGTGACCCGAGGGAAACCTGCCTGGCCGGGACTTCTGGGCTCCAGTCCCGGCTCGGTGGCTGCCAACACCCAGTGTCCCTGCCTGGGGGGGTGGGGGGGACTGGAGAGTGAAGCAGCTACTTCCCCAAGTCAGCAGAGGTGGAGGAAGGGTGCGCCGGCCCCCAACTCACCCACCAAGGCGATGACGAAGGCGAAGACGTGCAGCAGCCCGTGCAGGACTTTGGTGGTGCGTTTGGCCTCATTCCTGAAGACCCGGTAAACCAGCAGGGCTTGTGGGCCGTGAGAAAGGGAAGGTCAGCGCGCTAACCTCAGCCTGCAGCGCTCCGGCCAGGGCAGCGAGGAGACACACCCCCGGCTGCAGAGGGGACCTGAGTCTAGCGCTTGTCCAGGTACCCCAGCCACAAGAACCGGGAAGGAAGCAAGGCTCCTGTGCTCTCCCGCCCCCCACCCCGCCGCTTCTTATCAGCTGTCCCCGGGTATTCCAGGCTCTGTTTTAGGCTCATCAAGCAGGCACTCCAAGGTGCCATGTACTTCTGAGTTCACCCCTGAGCTTTGATGGTCCTCAGTTTGTCCAGCGCTGAAGCCTGATCATAGATCCACTACTTTTAGCAAGCAGGCTCCCTGGTTGGGAAACCCCTGGTTCTCAAAGCAGAACCTTGTGATCCCAAGTGAATTCTCCCTCTTCCCGCTGAGGTGGTCAGGGCCAGGGGGCCTGGGGAACACCTCTTAGGAGTCTGCTGCTGAAGGGGTTGCTGACACCGGGACCACCTTGAGGAAGAATGCATAGATCCAGCTTTCTTGATACTAGAAGGCCATGGCCCCCTGGCTTTGAGGCAGAGTGCGTGGCCAACCACAGGCTGGATCCTACCCCAGAGAGAGGAGCTCTAGCTCTGCCAAGTTCATCATCTCCCCAGACACACACACACCCACACGCACACGCTGTCTTGCTCACCACCTAGCCCCTGGGCCTCCCTATATGAAGCACACACACCCTTGGATGCTCCTTGCTGAAGCACGAGGTGAAAGAGCTAGGACAAGTTAGAAAGGAGTTGCCACCCAGTAGCCTCGGGGGGCCCTGATTTGGATTCCCAGTGTCCCTAGGCTCTGAGCCAGCTTCCGGAGTGAAAGGGTCCCTCAAACCCGCTCCCAGGTGGTGTCAGCCAGAGACTCACCGTCTCCCTGCAGGAAGACCAGGCCTATGATCATGCAGAGGGGGTGCACGTTGAACTGTAGGGCGCTCTCCCAGGCAATGCCGCCTCGGTACATACCAAGCCAGGCGCCAGTCATGGCCACCACAATCAGGCCCAGCAGCTGGGAGAAGGCCACGTAGTAGGGCAGCGCCCCGGGGGCGGGTGCTGGGCTGGCAGGGCCCTCCATGCTGAGGCGACTACTGCGGAGAAGATGGCAGAGCTCAGAAGAATGGCTCACAGCTTCCAAAGATACGCCCCATGCCCGGCCCTGCCGCCTCCCTCTCAGCCCACTCCCCTGGTCTCTGTGCTCTTATAGCCAGCGCCCAGCCCAATGGGAGGGGCCTGGCTTCCTGCAGAACCGGACCGCACCTGGCTGCACTTCCACCTGCAATGAGGGTGCAAGTCAAGGTCCTCCACGTTCTGGGCAGAGCAGGAGGGCCCCATGGCAGTGCTTTCTGTTTCATGAAGCCCTGGGTTTTCTCAAGTCAGGTTCATGGGTAAAATAAGAGAAGTGAGCACATTCCTTGAAGATGCAGGAATTTTTCCTCCAGATGAACCATAAAGGGCACCTGGGGTGAGAAATGGGAGCCTGACTCCCCCTGGCCTGCTGTTTCAGCTCCAGCCCCAGGTGAGAGAAGTCCTGCCGACAGGGCAGCCCCCAGCAGCGTGGCAAGCAGCCAGTGGAGGGATGTGCTCTGAGCTGCTTCGCCAGGAAGGACCTGGGAGACAGGAGCCTTCAAGCAGCCCTTTGCCTTCCTGCCTCCACCTGCTCCTCCCGGCCACACCTGGCGCAGTGGGCCTGCACTGCTCCCAGGCCAGGCTTCCTGAACTGAGCCCTCCAAGGTAAGAATGGACTCCTGGGGTCATGTAGCTTGCAAGGACTCGGTGAGAGAGCACGCGTGTCACCGCTCCATCCAGCAGACAAGGAATGGGGGCAGGAGGGAGGGGAGAGGTCTCAGTGGGGCTCGGGGAAGCCAAGCTCAGGGACCAGTGGGAGGCATTTCCCGGCTCCTCTGCACAGTCCTCGGTGTCGCCAAAGCCAAGCCCCAGCTCCAAAAGGCCTGTGTGCCAGCTCTTCACCCGGAACCTGCTGGTTCTTCCCACACTCGGGCGGGAGTGGCAGCCAGGGGGGATGGGAGGAGAGGAGGCAGTGGAGAAGCAAGTATAGCCTTGGTGCCAGCGTCCTGTGGCCACAGAAAGGCTCCGCCAGGGCTCCCAGGGGGCCCAGCACTCCATTCCCCTGGCTCGCCTCTTGCACTACCCCAGCCTCTCCCAGTGGCTGGCCCTGGAGACACCCTCCTTCTCCTTATTACCGGCAGAGAACAGCAGCTGAGCAGAGAGGTTTGACTAATACGTTGTGGGATCCCTCCTAATACTTACTGAGCACAGTGGGTTTCCTGGTGGCTCAGACAGTAAAGAATCTGCCAACAAACTTAGGTTGAGTCCCTGGGTGGGGAAGATCCCCTGGAGAAGAAAATGGCTACCCACTCTAGTATTCTTGCCTGGAGAATCCCATGGACAGAGGAGCCTGGTAGGCTGCAGTCCGTGGGCTCCCGAACAGTCAGACGCGACTGAGCGACTGACTTTTCACTTTCACTGTTCACCCTCTACCCTGTGCAGCTCAAGAGAGCTAGTGTCCGGTCGATCAGGCCGTGTCCTCCTGGTGAGCGGACCGTCTTTACCCCCACTTCCCTCTGCCACCTTGGACTACTGTCGGCAATGCCACCGTTTTTTAAAGAGGGGGGCAGGCAGTGTTGATAACCCACTCCCTATAGTAAAATACAGATAAGCAAAAAAAAAACCAAAACAGAAATTACAAGTAATCAATGTTTTGATTTATATCCTTTTCATACTTTCTTTTACAGAAACATGACCATACCAATTTCTAACCTTTTTTCACTTAATTCTAGACCACGCACATCTTTTCGTGTCAGTGAACATACATCCACATAATAGTTGTCTTATTACACGACAGTTTCATATTTTAACCAATCCCCTATCTCCTGTTAAATATTTAGTCAGGTTTCAACTTTTCACTAAGTAAGCAACACTACGTTCTCATCTCTGCACACCTGTCTTAATTCCTAAATGGGATACTGAGCAAGGGCTAGGTTCTTTTTTTAGATTTTGGATACATTCTGTCAAAACACCTTCCCAAAGCACCCCCATTGCAGGTGGGAACACCTGCTTCCAGAAGCCCTGGACACAGTGATTCCAGCCTTCAGGAACTCTTGCTTGCTCATCTGTCACCTCGACCCCTACACTGGAGGCTGCTGAAACTACTGCCAGTCTGCCTCTCCTCCAAATTTGAACCCCATTTCTAGCTGTCCACTAACACCTCTATCTGGACATCCCCCAAGCACTTCAAGGTCAGCACATCCAAAGCCACATTGCTCTCCTGACCTCCCAGGTCATCAGTGTGGCCGTCTCCCCCAGGTCTCGCCATCACTTCCCTCCCAGCCACCTTCATTGCCACCACCCAGCAGGGCCTGGAACTTCTGCCCCCATCTCCCTACCCTCCTCGGCCTGCCTGACCCTCGGGACGAACAGAGCCAGCTCCCCAGTCGTGCTACCCTCCAGGCACAAAGGGCCGCCAACACATGATGGTCAAACGCCAGCTCCTCAACTGATCCCGTCCAGGTTTCCACCCGCAGCCGCCACCCTTTTCCTGCCAAGTCCACTGGGAGGAGATGCTCCCAGCCACGGCTCTGACAGCACAACCTGGTGGTAACCCGTCCACCTCATGCTCCCCCACGCTTCGCTTCGCCCCACGACCTGAAATGGGCATTTTGTTCGCCTTTCCCCTCCTCTGTGGCCCCAAGGCTGGCCTAGGGCTCACTTACCCCGGTCCTGCGCTGCGCCAAGCCCACGTGGGCCTCTCCGCTTCTGAGCCCTGTGAGCTCCCTGCACGCAGGGACTGCGTCCGCCTCCCCCTTGGGCGTCCTCAGGGATCTGATCCCCTGCACTGACTCCAACAGGAAAACTGTTCTGAATAAAGAGATGCTGTCCTCCTCTCCTTTATTAGATTCCTCTTGAGAGCCCGGGCACAGTCAGAATCTGATTAGCTCTGAATTAGGAAGAACGGAAAGAATGGGCTCTGCCCCAGCCGGCCTAGCAGTCTGCCCGCCCATTAGACAGCGAGGACAGAGGGGGGTTCAGGGCTGCGGAGAACGGCACTCCTGGGTCCCGAGCCGCTCCGCTGTGACACAAGCCACAGCCAGCTTTTTCCCTTCCCAAGTGGTCTCATCATGAGATGGGCACTTCTTAGCCGTGGCACTCTGATTTATAATAAGAAATGTATGCAACAAAGCGTCTAAAACCCTAGGAATTTTCAATGTGAAGAAAGCCGTAAACGTTTCTTTTGTTATGTTAATATTACATTATGTTAATAAAGCCCCTAGAAAACTGGGGAATGGTTACCAGGGGAACCAACCTCAGGACCGGAGGGTTGGAACTTTCAGTCCCGCCCTTGACCTCTGGGGAGGGAGCGGGGCTGGAGATTGGGTTCAGCCAGGAGTGTCCAATGATTTAATCAGTCAGGCCTGTATAACGAAGCCTCCTTGAACCCCCAAAGGACAGGGTTTGGAGAGCTCCTGGGTTGGTGAACGCATCCACGTGGTTCCTCGGGGACAAGCTTCAGTGCTCCAGACCCTTCCAGATCTTGCCCCACTTACCTCTTCATCTGGCTGGGATTTTTTTTTAATAATAAACCAGAAATGTAGCAAATTTCTCTGAGTTCTGTGAGCTGCTCTCCCAAATTAATTGAACCCGAGAAGGGGGTCATGGTAAGGTCTGATCTGTAGCCTGTTAGTCAGCAGCACAGGTGACAACCTGGACTTGCAGTTAGCATCTGAATGGGGTCAGGGGACAGTCTCCTGGGACTAAGCCCTTAACCTGTGAGATCTAACCCTGTCTCCAGTTAGGTAGTGTCAGTGTTGGGTTAAACTGTAGGACAGGGACTTCCCTGGCAACCCAGTGGTTAAGACTTCAAGCTTCCAATGCAGAGGGTGCAGGTTTGATCCCTGGTTGGGGAACTAAGACTCTTCATGCTGCAAGCTGTGCCCGAAAAAAAAGAAAAAAATTGTAGGACCCCCAGCAGCGTCCGCTGAGAAATGGAGACTCACTTGGTGGTGCTGAAAACACGAAGGAACAGTGTGATGACAAGACGTGGCTTTAATGTCCTCACTGAAAACTTCGTGAGTTCCCTTGGGAGTCTGAACCCCAGTGCTGTCAGCACTCCAGTGCTGTTTGCACCCTGAGGTGGTAGCCTGGAGATGTGAGCTTTTGTGCCTCAAGGGCAGGAGCCCTGCTCTCCTCAGCTCTTCCTGAGTTCTCTCAGTCTTCACAGTAATCTGTGATGATAACAGGATTATTACCCCCATTTGACACGTGAGTAAATTGGGACTCAAAAAGGATAAATAGTGAAAGTGAAGGTGTTAGTCACTCAGTCGTGTCCGACTCTTTGTGATCCCAAGGACTGTAGCCTGCCAGGCTCCTCTGTCCATGGAATTCTCCAGGCAAGAATACTGGAGTGGGGAGCCTTTCCCTTCTCCAGGGGATCTTCCCAACCCAGGGATCGAACCCAGGTCTCCTGCATTGTGGGCAGATCCTTTACCATCTGAGCCAGCAGAGAAGCCCAAGAGGATTTTGTTGCAGGTGATTTTGGACAAGAGGATAAATGACTTGTCCAAAATCATCCGCAGCAAAGAGCTGCTCAACTCAGTTGTTTATCAAGTGCCTGCAAAGCAGTTGCCACACTGCTGGATGCTGGAACATAGAGACGAGACGTGGCCCCCGCCTTCCAGGGCCTTGCAGACAAGAGGCAGAGCAGAGGCAGATTCTAGAGTAAAGGGCCCCTGAGTAAATTCCGCTGTGCACGCTGGATCCGCGCTGGAGTGGCCATCCTACAGGGGACGCCCGCTAGGGGTGTGGCTCTGCGCTTTCTAACGCCAGCAACTAGGCGAGAGTGGACAGCTTCCTCAGCACTGAAGCCAGGATTCAGAGGACCTGACTCTGCTCAGAAGCATGGCCCTGGGACAGCCTCTCCCTTCCCATGCCATCCTCCTGGGCCCTCCTCAGCCCCTCGAGGACCCACTCGAAGGCAGCTCACACCCACCATGACTTCAAGCATTGGTGTCCCCCGTGGGCTTTCTGGGGAGAAAAGGCTACAGGTAGAAACGGGCGGGTTAGAGAGAAGAGGTGACGGGGACAGACTACTGCAGGACCTTCATGACAGCTTCTCCAGAGGCATCTCTCCTGGTTACTTCGCCCCAGGAACGAGGTATCCCAGAGGAAGTCAGAGATAAAGAATGACCATGGACTCACAGATGCCTAAGCAGTTTCCCCTGTAGACCCTTCCAATCTGAAGGTGATTCTAAACCTGAGTATGAGGGATGACAGGAAAACACAAAGGAGAAAGGAACCTGTAGGTTCCCCTCAGCTGAACTCACAGCCAATAAGATCTAAGTGAAAAAAATCCAGATATACAGAAAAGACAAAGCATCGAGCGGATTCTGTGCTTCACGGAAAATGAGCTGAGACCCCTTCAGCAACATAACTGCCTATCACTTCTTCGGTTCAGTGTAACTGACAGCACATCTCTCTGCACAGATGGGCTGCTTCCAACGACAAGGGGTACAGAGAAGATACTGCAAGGACTCTAGTTGGAAGCCGACTCACCCACAAACACGGGTGCGTCTGCTGACCCTGAAATCAGTTGGGATTCACTCCCTAGTAAGCAAATACCTTTGAATCCTAGCCCTGCATTTCCTTCTCTCGCCCTTCCCTCTTTCCTAACAGTGGTTCCTCAGAACACTGGCAGCTTTGGGGCCTCCTGTGTTCCCAGAGCCGCCATGCAGGCAGCAACGTCAAGGGCCTGGAAGCAGCCCACCGGCACCCCAAAGGCTTCCTTGGCCCACCAGACCGAGCGCCTGTGCGGGCTCGTGTGGGCCTTACCCGGCTGCCCTCCTTCCCGTCAGAGCACAGGATGGGGATCTGGGGTCTCTGGCAGCTTCTGGAACCTCGGGCTGTGATGTCACCCCACCCTGCCCCCACACACCTGCAGCCAGACCCCACTTAACTTGATCAACCAGGGCCAGGAGCTGCCGCAGGGTTTGAACGTGCCAACAAGCATCGCTCTCCCTCCCTGAGCCCGGGGGGCTTCACTGAAAGGCCACCAGGCCTAATCTCATTATGAGGACCAGACACCACACACGTCCACAGCCTGGAAGCAGCAGCCTGGCCTGGCCACAGATCTTATCGGCAGCAGCGTTTTAATTGGGTTAGAAAAGATTTTGTTGGGGGCAATCTTTTCTTGGGTACAAGGGGTAAATGACTCAATTGTCTTAGAATGTCCTCAAATGTGATGAAAGACAAGGCAAAATGAGGGCTGGGCTGTTAGATGGGGCCGTTTCTTACCACTGGCACCCAAGTAACCCCCAGGAAGGAAGGTGAGGTCAGACACCGAGTCCAGTTCTCCATTAGGTCCAGGGGCTCACTCTCAGGGCTCTCAGTACTTGTAGGGACTCACAAAAAAGGTGTGGATTTCTGTTGAAATCCTAAGAAAAAACGAACTTCTAGGATTGAATAAAATATTTTAATTTTTAGTCCAGCCTGGATTATATCTGTCTTTATACTTGTATGATTGTAAAATACAATTCTATTTATTTATTTATTTATTTTAATAGAGGAAGGAGAATGTCACAATCCAGCCCTGTTCAGATGGATGTGATTTCAAAGCCAGCCCCTCTGTTCATGACAGGGAGCCAAGAGTCTTCTATGAGCCCGATTCCTCTTCCAAAAGGTAGGGGCATGTTAAGATCCACCTTACTGGCCTGTAGCAAAGACGAAGCAGAATATGTACCAGGGCTAGCACACTGCCCGCCACATAGTAGGCATTCAGTTAAATAGCAACCTCACAAAAACGAAATCTTTTTCTAAGAGCACCTTAGGAAGAGGCACACATCAGAAGCTGTTGACACATGAGGTTTGGAGCTGTAGACAGCCAGATGGCAGCAGACAGCATGACCCCGTCTAATAAATCCACACCCCCACTTCTGCCTACCATGAATCCCCACACTGGGCAGAAAGCCCTGGATCTGGGGTGAATTCCTCCACCAGAATCTTCTAGCATTAGAACCACTTTATATTAGAAGCCGCCCAAGGGAAGATGACGCAGGTAGGGAAGCAGTGGGACAAGCAAAGGCTCCACTCAGGTCCTGGAGGCCCCTCCTGCCCAGGGGTGGGGTGGGAGTTTGTAGCAGGCCTTTCTGTGTATGGGGCTCCCCTTGGCATTTACAAGTTGCCTGTATTTTCTGCCTCAATCCAATTACACAGAAGAAATCAAGATATGTATGAGAAGGTAGCAAAGCTTTGTGGGTTTTTTATTTGTTTTTGCTATGAAAACGAAGGAACAGAACCCAGATAAGATAACGCTTCATTTAATGAGTCTTAGCCAAGGTGGCATGAGAGAGGAGAGGGGCAACCCAAAGGGAGAAAGACCTGGGGGGTGCCAGCCTCTAAAGATGTGGCTGGGACTTCGGGGTCCACCTGGATCCTCCTCTCTGTGGTGCCCTAGGGTTCAAGGCAGGCAGGAGGGGCGGTGCCCCCTATACCCAGATGTCAAAGGCAGCAGCAGACCCCTTCCTCCTCTTAGTTCTCCAACCCCTGTACCCACAGTTCAGGGCCTACAAAGGCCAACCCGAGGAGAAAGGATTTCCCAACGGGGAGACTCCTGCTTGCCCACCAAGAGGCTGGGGGTGTTCCAGAAGAACAAGGAAGGGACCTCCTAACTAGACACCTCACCCCAAAGGCAAGAGGCAGAGGGAGGGGGGCCCCCCGGCCACTAGAAGCAGTTCGGCAGCTCCATTTCAGGTTTCAAAAGCACAGTCGTGGCAAATGTTGGTTGATGCACTTCTACCCTACCTAGCTTCTGGAATATGGCAAAACATTAGCCGTGCATCTATGCATAAACTTGGGGGTCCCCTGCCGCTCCGTTCTAACTTCCAAAGAGACGAGGCACAGAGGTAGACCGGGGCCAACGGCCGACAGCTCCAGGAAAGAGCGAGCGAGTTGAGCTCTTTACTCAGGCCGGGTTCCGTGGCTCAGAGCCCAGGGAAGCAGGTGCAGTGAGTCAGGTTGGCGGCGGGAGAGGACAGGAGAAAGACTGGCTGCGGCGCCGGGATCCTGGCCTGTTCCGGCGCGGGTGCGGTCCCGCCACAAGCCCGGCACCCCTGAACCCACGGTGCCCCGGCACAGAGCCGGGCCCCCTCCCCACTCCCCGCCGAGGCCCGGCTCGCCCCCTCCGGCCCAGGCGCCTACCTGGCCGGACGTCGGACCCGGACCTCGTCCTCGCTGCTCCGCGCCGCGCCGCCGACTGGCCCACGAGCCGCCCGCGCCGCGCCCGGGCTGCCCCGCCGGTTCTGCCGGCCGCGCTACGACGTCGCCATGGCAACCGGGCGGCGGCGGCGGGGTGGCAGCCAGGCTGGCGACGCGGCGGGCGGAGGGCGCGGGGACCGGAAGTGCCCCGGCGGGTCCGCGCACCCGGGACCGGGCCCGGGCCCGGCCCCCCATGGTGCCTGGTCTGGGGACAGGGCCCCGCCAGGCCCGAACCTTGACGCCGGCGTGGCAGGGACTGCGGCGCGAGACCCGCCGCTACAGCGACCCGGCCTCCGGACCCGAGCTCGAGTAACCTTCGAATTCGGGCCTCGCGACCTGGCTTCCGGGGTCCGGTGAGTTCGGGGGCGTACGGGGCTCTGCTGTCCCGCGGGTGCTGGGGCCGCCTAGTGTAGGCCGGACTCGGAGGCCGCGGGCGACGCTGAGCGGGGGTGGGCTGCCTGGTCCGCCCAGGCGGGACCCGGGGCAAGACGGGAGGGGGAGTACCGGTGAACGGCCACCCTCCTCCGGCCTGGTCTCCGCGCTTCCAGATGCCCTCGCCCCACGCCCTGCCTTTCCCTCCCACCTTCATCCCTCGCCCCGCCCCGGGCTCAGGTGGCCACTAGGTGTCAGACGTGGCCCAGGGCTTGGCCCTCCTCGCCGCTCCCACAACCCTGGGCACTCGCCCCTTCCTGGCAATCTGGAAGGTGGAGGTGTCACTCTGCAGGGAGGCTGGATTCACTGCCTCACCAGTTCTGCAGCACCCGCACCCCTAACACATACACACACACGTGCACACAGACACACACTGGGTGATGTTGCCCCCTTTTCCCAAGCCAGGGACCTTTCCCAGACTATACCACCTGCCACCCCACCCACACCCATACACCCTCCTCTCCCATCAGCAGCCTAAAGATAAATATCAGCTCTCACCAGTCTTTCACGAAGGTCTAGACCTAGCCACTGCAGCCTCCCCAGCCCCAGTGGCTAAGAGAGGAAGGAACCAAGGCCAAGACGGAGCCAGCCCCTAGCACAGCCCCATCCAGGCCCCCCTATCCAGGAAGTGCTGAGAGTAGATAACAAGTCCAGCCCAGACTTTCTACAAGCTCAGAACAAAAGGTTCTTTCCTGTCAGATGCCTGGCACGACTCACCAAGCGCCTGAAGGTAGTAGTGAAATGGGGTTTCCTCCTATAGAGACCTGAAAGAGCCTCGGTGAAGGGACACCACCCCCACCCCCCCACCCCAGCACTGTGGGCTCCCCATGGGCCTGGCCAAGGTGGCCTTGGGGATCCAGTGCCTCCTTACAGATAGAATATGCTCTCAAGCTATGACAAGACGCCTAAGTGTGCCTGTTGCCCTGGGCACACCTTCTGATGAGGCAAACACTGCTGGGCCCACCCCCTCTGAGTGACCAAGCTTAAACCTGTCGTGAACAGAAGTTTTGTTGGGGTAGCGCTCCAGCCAGAGGGAGTTAATGGACATTTTAAATTAAGAAACAGCTTCCTTCACATGCCAACAGGCAAACAGCAGGCCACAAGTACCTTGAGTTGTGTCCTTGGAAACGAGCCACTTCCCATTGTTTGGCCTGTGTATTTGGGTTTGGAGGAGGGGGACTGAGGGGGGCAGGGCTGCAGAGAGGAGCAGAGCCTCCCTGGGGACCTGATTTGAGCATCCTGGTGTAGGGCTGGAAGCCCCTTGTGAAGCCCGGAGAGAGTTGCTGAGGTGGGAGGGCGGTCTCCCACCCACCCCGCGGCCCTGTGGCCTGAGCAGCAGCACTTGCCCCTTAGAGAGGACAGCACACGGGGCCCCCGTCAGAGCTCTCAGGAGGGGGTGGAGGTGGCTCTCTGAGTGAGGCAGCTTGCCTCCACGGGGACCAGTCACACAGGGACTAGCTGCAAGGACGCATGGCTCCACCACTGTAAAGGGCAGACGATCCCACCACGCTGCAGTCAAGCACCAGGGCCGCGTGGCCTTGCCACTGCTGCCAGTATCCCTGAGCCCGGGTGATGGATACTCACTTGCTTCCTCCCCCGTCCCTGCTGCTGAGGCCCTCAACCTGGGAGGCCAGAGAAGCATCCACCCTGCAGTTGGGGGGTGGTGACCAGCAAGGGGCACAGCCTTAAACCCCTTCTTGGGGACCAAGGTTTCCCCGTGCAAACCCTCCCTTCCTACACTCACTATGCTGCACTAACCTCTGTGGTTCTCAGACTCACCAAGTTCACAGGCCACTCTCCTTCAGAATGTTCTTCCCTGATCATCACTTGGCTTATTGCTTCAAATCTCAGCGCAAATATCCCCTCCTCGGAAAGGCCTTCCCTGACCACCCAGCCCAGTAGCTGGGGCCAAGGGCTGAGATGCAGGGAGATGCCCTGGATTACTGTGCTAGTGACAGCCCTGGGAAACCACACCTTGAGCATTCCCTGTTCTCTGGCCAAAAGCATTCAAAGAGCAGGAAGAGCCCAGACTGAGCAGAATGCACATTATAAAGGGAGCTCAGATCCCCTAGCAGCTGGTGGGTCACATCTGTCTTACTACGGTTCCCAGACTTAGAAGGAAAATACCCCCAGGGTGCCCTATTGAATTTAAATTTATTTTTTTTTTAATTTTTTGGCACAAGTATGTCCCACATATGACATTGGAGAAGGAAATGACAACCCACTATAGTACTCTTGCCTGGAGAATCCCATGGAAAGGGAGGCTGGAGGTCCACCGTCCATGGGGTGGCAAAGAGTTGGATACTACTGAGTGACTAAACCACCACCACCACCACCACATATGACATACAATATACTAAAAATGTATTAGCTATTTATCCAAAATTCAAATCTACCTGGCTATCCTATATTTTATCTAGCAGCCCTACTCTTGCTCCTGTGTGGGAAGGACAGAGGGGCCTCCCAGCAGTGCCCACCCCACCCCCACCGCCGCCAACAAAGCATCCCTGCCCCCAGCAGGTTGAGACACCAGTCACCTCCTCTTCAGCACGTGCCTTGGCAGAGGACTTGACCTTGGGCTGCATGGAATACCAAGTCAAAGGCAGTGGAGATGGGTTCCCCAGTTCTAAGTCACTGTAAGATACAAACACACATAATCCATTCACTCTTTCCAGTTTTCATCAAGTCGCTTCAACATGCCGGGTGACATTGGGATGTAAGAATGAACAGGACAGGAACAACCCTGTTCTCTCCAGGCCCTCACAGTGCAGAGGAAGGGCACTTCACCCAGACGTGAGGGTCACAGAGGCTTCTGGGACATGGCCGCAGGGCGAGCAGGGGTTAGCCTGGCAAAGGGGCAGCAGGGAGCAAGCAGGGGTGTTGGCCGGAAGGCAGACAGGCGAGGAGGCCCAACTAGCACTGCTGCGGTGGGGGTCAGGGATCCGCATGCCAGATCCAAACCCCATGCCAGCTCTGGGAGGTAGGCCTGGCACTCAGGTGGCACATGGTCGAAGAGCACACCCTCTAGGAGATCGGCCTCCAGCCAGGGGCGGCATCCTCAGACCTGCTTCCTGGGTAACTTGCCCCAACTTCCTGGAGAGAAAACTGGTCTGACTCTGAAAGGCCATGGCTACTTTGATGAGTTTTGAACGGAATGATGATTACTCAGCGGGGAAATCCTCTCTTCCAGCCCCGAGAAGCAGGAGTGGCCAGAAAGGCAGCAGCCAGAGCAGGAGCAGCCGGGCATCCAGCAGGGCCGCAGTGATGGTGGCGGAGCGGCAGCACCGAGGCAGGGAAACTGCAAAGCTTCCAACGAAGGCAGTGAGTCATCTGGGACCTCCGGAAGGCGAGGGGAAGGGGCTGAGGGACGTCATAGGCTATGGGTCCCGGGTTGACCCCAAAGTTGGTCCAGTCTGGGAACACAAGACTGAGATAAACAAGAGTGAACTGTCCACGAGCCAAGAGAACACCGCAGGCTGAATGGAAAAGCCATGAGAACTGGGACGGTCAGGCCAACTTTCATTTCTGCCGCTCAGAGCAAACAGGATGTGGGAGGCACAAGTGACTGGGGAGCAGCCGGTGTTGGGACCCCAAGGTGGGGGGCAGTGGAAGGGGTGGGTTTTCCCAGCCTCTGTGTGATCTGCGCAGCCGTCAGGGTGCAAGGGGTGAGGATCAGGAGGAAGACCATTTTTCCTTCCTCTCTTTCAACAAAAGTTTATTGGGCGCCCACTTATGCCTTACATTGTTCCAGGCCCCAGAGAGACAGTAATCCGTAAGACAGACATGGTCCCTGCTTTCATGAAACTTACATGAAGTGGGGGAGACAGATAATTAAAAGATAGGCGAGTGACACACACGAGAAGCATAATTGCGTGTAGTAACAGGTGACAGGAAGTGGATGGAGTGCCCCAGCAGGGAGGGCTGTCATAAAGGGGTGCTGGCAAAGACCATCGGAGGAGAGAGAAGTAAGGGTGGGGGGAAGGCCCAGGGGAGCGACTCCAGCCGAGGCATCGTGTGGGAAGAAGGGCAGAGGCCCAGACCGGACTGTGCAGGTCGTCTGCATCCCGCCTCCCCACTGCCCCGGCCTGCATCATCCCCCAGCACAGGTGACGTCAGCCACGCGTGCAGACAGAGGAGAAAGGAGGTCTCAGGTCACACAGAGGGCAGAGGTTGAAGATGTGAGGTGTGTGGCAGAGACCCCACCAGAGGTTCCGGGGTTGTGTCTGGGCACTGACCGTGTCTGTCATCCACTGGAGAATCCACACATCAGCCCTGATCATTAGGGCACCACTAAGCTCCCCCGGCCCAGCCCATGTTTGCCTGTGGCTGCTGGTACTGCCTGAGCAGGAGGCATTGGAGCCCCAGCCCCAGCATGACCCCCACTCGGACCAGCACCCCCCTCCCGCGCCCACACCATGAAACCGCAAAGAAGTGTGTGTCCCCGTCGTGCCATGAGCCCCACCTCCCCATTGTGCTCCCTGAGCCCGTCAGGCATTGACTCAGTCAGCAAACCCTTAAGACCTGCTATGTGAGTGCGAGGTGCATTGTGGAGAGCGGGAAAGACATAGGAGGAACTTCCCTGGTGATCCAGTGGCTGAGACTCTGGGCTCCCAATGCAGGGGGTCTGGGTTCCATCCCTGGTCAGAGAACTAGATCCCACATGCCCCAACTAACACCTGGCACAGCCAAATAAATAAATATTTTAAAAATAGAGAGACCCAGGAGAGCAAGGGTGTAAGGTGGGGGTGAGGACTGGCCAAAGCTGGAGTGGTGTCAGCAGAGACAGGAGGAGGAAGGTATGAGCTACTGATAATGACAGCCATCTAATCACCTCGGCTAACCAGCCATAAACTGCAGGACTGGGTCTCCTGCACTTTGTTCAGAGCCTGTGACAACTGAACGCTCATCTTGGCTCCTTAAGCTGCTGCAGCTCTGGCCCCACAGCCCCAGGTGCCCAGCCGAGCTCCTCATGCCAGGAGCGTGGTGAGGATGTGGAGACCTCTGAGTCAAAAGTGCAAGATGACCAGGCCACAGTCAGGAGGATGCCCCGAGCGCAAGATGGGCCAAGGCTCAGGCAGTGATCCCAGCTGTAGCTCTGTGATGACCCGCTTCCAGAGCAAGATGCAACTGATCCCCAAGGAGCAGGAGGAAGGGGCAGACAGACCAGGCATCATCCCTAATGAGTGCACCAAGGCTGGTGGCTCTTCCATGGTCAGAGCAAGTCAGCCGCCCGCTTGTCCTGAGTCAGGTTTCACTTCACCCCTCTCTGCCCTGCCCCTCCCTGCATCCTTTTTACTTCTCTTGACCTGGACCATCGCCTCCTGCCTGAATGCTCCTATCAGGCCAGCTGATAGGGGTGGTGCTTCTCTCAGGTCCTTGATATGAGAGCAGATTAGATTAGACGGTACCTTGACCTTAGCCCTTGGACTGCAAGGAGATCAAATCAGTCCATCCTAAAGGAAATCAGTCCTGAATATTCATTAGAAGGATTGATGCTGAAGCTGAAACTCCAATACTTTGGCCACCTGATGGGAAGAACTGACTCATTGGAACAAACCCTGATGCTGGGAAAGATTGAAGGCAGGAGAAGGGGACGACAGAGGATGAGATGGTTGGATGGCATCACCGACTCGATAGACATGAGTTTGAGTAAGCTCCGGGAGTTGGTGATGGACAGAGAAGCCTGGCGTGCTGCAGTCCATGGGATTGCAAAGAGTCAGACACAACTGAGCGACTGAACTGACTGACTGACTGACCTTAGCTCAGAAATCCCCTCACCTAAGAAGCCACATTCCTCGGGTCCCTCCCAGCCAGTGGGAGACCCCCAGAGGTAGGCAGGTGCCAGGGAGAACCAGGGCCCGCAGCGGGTCCCCTTGTCTCTTGCCTCATGGCCCCCTGTGGGGCGGTCACGCCGCCTGCTCTTGAAGGGATCCCAGGGGCCAGAGCCAGGCCCTCCTGCTCCTTCAGTAACCAGTAGCTCAGGTCTTCTGGGGAGCTCACCCCAAGCTCCAGGGCCCATGAGTGATGACCCTGAGAGCCATCTCTCAGGCCCCACAGACTAAGGCCGTAGGAAGGCAAGGAGATTCGAAGTCATTACCATCCTGACCATCCCTTTGTCCTCTGTGCCCTTCACAGCTTGGAAGGCAAGGTCAAGTCTAAACGGATGTGACTTCGAGTGCTCTCATCCATGTTGAGTTTTTCTCACCTTCCACAGGCCTGTCTTCATCTGATAACCCCAGGCACCTCTGAAAGCTTAATTTGGCCCGGGGCTCAGCCCTGGCTTCACTTGTCCAAGGAGTCAAGGCCGATGGGGCCGTGCCAGTGAGCCCAGCTTCTAGGCCCTTAGAGACCCTGTGCTCTGCTTCCTGCCCCTGTGGCATCCCCACAGCATCCTGGTGACCAGGTCAGTGGCAGTCATGTGCACTGAACAGCACTAGCTTCTCCAACCGCCCCCCCCCCAAGATGACTGGGTCCCACTGGGCCTGCCCCAATCAGGTTCCTCCATGGAGAGGTGTCTCCCCGGAAGCCCCAGCATCTCCCTTGCTGGCTGACCATCACAGAAGGTCTGCTAAGATAAAAGGGAATCAGCTCAGGTTCTTTCTTCCTCTTATGCACATTGGTCAACCTACCCACTCTGCTGTCCAGGGAGGTGACCTGAGGGGGCCTTTGCCCAGCCACAGAAGGCCACTACCTTTTCTCCTCCACAGACTTTGTGCTTGATGTCTGCATGAAAGGCCCCCTGGAAACATCTGCTCAATGTCTCCTAAAGCAGGGAGATGACTCCAAGGTGAGCAAAAGACAAGGTGTTGTTTTCTCCCCTAGGAACCCCTCCTCTCACCCACCTTTGATGCCTTCCAGGGAGTTTATTTATGGAAGGGTCCCAGGGGAGGGACATGGCGACCAGGCTGGTGGCAGGATGCTGCTGGGACAGGCAGTGGGGCTGGAGGCCCTTGGGGGGCCCTGGGTATGTCAAGGTGCAGGCAGACCCTAAAGGTGCACAGCCCAGTGGGAGGCTGGCCAGACCCTGGTTCCAGGCTCCCACTGCCCACCATTCTGATGGCAGCTGTCCTCCCAGCGCCCGTCTCTGCAGCTCCCCACATTGCCCTCTCTGCGACCACTGCAGGCATTCTATTTCCCTCTGAGTCTTTCTCTCTCAGCTTCTCACTCGGTCTCTCCCCCTCCCCTCCACCTCTGTCTTCTGTCTGACCTGAGAGTCCCCAGGCTTCCAGGAGAGATGATCTCCAGGCTTCAGGGCATGGGCGGTTTTACCCAGCTTCCTGGCCCCTCTGGGGACAGTGAGTTAAGGTCCATTAGAATCCTGAGCTCCAAACTGAGCCCCACTGTGGTTGGGGAAGTGTCTCTGGCACCCAGCAGGGCCATCTGAGCAGGAGAGAGCTGGCCGTGCCCTGGTCTGACAGCTGAGGCCAGTGGGAGCCTGGGCGTGCCCACCCACGGCCCCTCACCACCACACACTCCACTTGCTGCAAAGAAGGCTGCAGTGCCTTCATTCTAGTCAGGCTTTCAGCACACCAGCCAAGAGCATGGGTGGCTGGGCCTGCAGCGGGCTCTGGAAATGCGAACGTGATGATGGCATTGCACACCTGCTTTGGGGGAAGGAAGGTCTGGCCTTGGGGGACAGTGGTGATAACCAACGTTGGGGACTGTGAGCATTGCAGACAAAAGGAAAGAATGGCAGGAAAGACTCAGGAGCCCAAGGATCAGGGTCTGCTTCACAAGCCAGTGGGGCAAACTTCCGTCAACCCTTGAATTGTCAGCATATAAAAGGAATCTGACTACAGTGGTAAACATGTAGTTTGCCACATGAGGACATTAAAAAACAAAAGTCATCATTTTTTTCCCAGCACCGATTTATGAGAGAAATATTTGAACTATTAAAAAATAAAAGATAGAACACTTAGAAGATACCGTGACCAAGAAAGGGCAGCTGGCAACTTGGCTAATGTGTCCTGATCGATTTTCTGTATCTCACTGTCCTTTGATTTTCTTGCTTTATTGCTGACTGCTGAACACTTTATCAAGGGCCAGACCCGCCAGGGGACTGGCCCTCTGGGAAGCGCTGATAGAGGGGCCTGTGCAGGTGGGGTGAGAGCCGGAGCCCTGGGAGGCGGGGGGCGGGTGGGGCCACACAGGAGAGACTCTGGACCTCACACTCCAGAGTCCAGATTTTATCCCCGAGCTGATGTGGAGACAGGAGGGGCTCCCAGGAAACGGATGCAGTGGTCAAGTCCCCAAGCATTTATTGCCACAGCTGTAAGGATAGACTGGAGGGAGAGAGACAGGGGAGCCTAGGGGAGGGGCTGGTGGAAATGATGAGGGTCTGTCCCACGGTGGGGACAGTGGCGGTGGGCCTGGAGAAAGGGGCGGAGCCAGGAAGAGGAAAGTGTCCTCCCGCATTCCCTTCGGACCATGAACAGAGATAACCTTGGGAGGGCAGAACCAGGAGAAGTGGGTTTAAGACTAAGGATTAAAAATAAGAACACCCTGACTGGGAAGAACGTGGCAAGTGACACTTCGGTGAGAGTGGACCAAGGCAGAGAGCGTTCCGGAAGGTGGAAGACGAGTGGGCAGCAGGCGGCTCACATTGGGGGTGCTTGTACTTGGGGTCCACCTCTTGTACCACTTTAGTCAACTCATAACCTCTCTGTGCCTTAGTTTCCTCATCTGTAAAATGGGAACCAAATAGTAGCTGACTCACAGGGTTGCTGGGAAGTTTACATTAAAGATGTGTAGAGCGCGTAGATGCCCTGCTCCATAGACATGGCCTGACATTAATATGCATTGTCACATTATCCCCCAGCACCCACACAGCCCCCAGAGCACAGAAGGGATTATTAATTTTGGTGATGGGGGCGCAATCAGGGCAAAATACTAGGCCTGGCTTCATGGGAGGCCCCGGGCTCAAAGCCTGCCTTCTGGGGTCCTGGGCAGTGTTTTGACCACTCCTGGGCTCCCTTGGGCAGCTCTCACCTGCCACTCCCACACACGCACCTAACGGCGACCAAGATGGAAACTTGCTGAACTTGTGACAGCACTGGTCCCAAGAACAGAAGGGACTCACACTCCCTGGAAGTTTCTCTGGGGTGGATGCCCAGTCCACCTACAGGAGGCAGGCCAGGAAAGGGGGGCAGAGGGTCTGGGGGCCACAGGAGGGAGTGCGGACTGGAGGAGGCGGGAGTGCCGAGCTGGCTCCTCAGTCACCCGCCTCCCTCCTGCAAAGGACCAGCGCCCTCCAGAACCGAATCCTCGAGTCCTCGTCCCCTGCCCCCCTCCCCAGACCTGCTGCTCACATGTTTGCCACCGACGAACACGCCTTCCAAGGCACCGTCACCCCTCAGCTCCCCCACCCAGCCCCATCCACTCTCCCTCAATAGACCCTGAGTCTCCCACTTCCCTTAGGCTCTGTGGGGCCCTGAGCCCTGTCTTCTCTTTCCATCTCTGGGCCTCCAGAGTTTGCTAAGCACCTCTTCACTGAACACCCTGAAACACAACCGTGGTCTTGGCACCGTCCAACGCGAGCCCTTCCTTAGGAGGATGTCTGACCGCCCACCTTGACTTGGCAGCCGCAGCCAGCTCACCAGCCCCCGCTCACTGCCCTGTGTTGACCCGGGGAACTTGCTTTCTCTTTCTCCTCTGCTTCAAATGCGAGTCCTCCAGAGACTGGCCTGCTCAAGTCCTACCCCTCCTGTCAGGGCTCAGCCAAACGACACCTCCAGGCAAGGCTCAGGGCCTGTCGCCACTCTGGGAATTGCTTGATGAACATCCAGGGAGCCTGTGTTGGTGAGACCATCTCCAAGCAATGGGCCCGCACCCCGTGGTCTCAGGAATGTGCAGAGAAACCAGCAAACAAAAGAAAAGGAGGGAGATATTTTTAATGCAGACCAGGCAAGATTAGGCAAGAGGAGACAGGACAGATGTGAGTCAAAGATTACTCAGATGTTCCTGGCCTGGGAGACAGAGATGGTCGTCAGTGTCCATGGCCATGGCAGAGCTGGGCCTCCGCCTGGGCCTGGAGTGACACAGGGCACCTCCCCTTTCACTGCTTCCTGGGGCTGGGGGCCTGACATCCCAGAGGCGGAGCACAGCGCAGACCAGGGCCACAGATGCTTAGGGCATCTACAGGGCACAGTCCTTGGGATGTCAACATTAAAAAAACAACAACATCTTGCTAAAATATAAACAAGTAAAACAAAACAAAAGTTTGCTGACCAAGTGTGTGCTGTACATGAAACCAAAGGGAAGACCTAAAAGAAGACAGGAAAGTTAAAATTTTCTCAAAGGATACGATTGCTGAGTCAAAAGCAGTAAGACTGAATTCTGCAGATATTCTGCACTTAGACAAGAGGGAAATCAGATGGTAATTTTTC